AGAGCTGGAGTCATAAGAATGTCAAGCAATGGATCAACCTGTTTTTTGGCTATATCAGGTAGGATGTGATTAGAGGAATCAAGTGATCAGATTGATGAAAAATTCTTCGCAAACAATGTAGCTTTATTTTTAGGTGAGGCAACAAAATCTGAACCATGCAAGAGAGGTGGAATGACAGATTTGCCCTTATCATAGATGTTGTTAAAAATTGTCCAGAAGTCTCTGGAGCCTAATTTTTGAAATGAAATACAAAATAGAATAGCAAATTCAGAATAAGACAAAATCTTTTTACAAAGTTTTCTAGCAATAGTAAACAGATACAGTAAAATGATGTGACTTTGTTGAATAACAAGTCAAGAGAGTGTAAGTTTTAGTTGATGGAATTAGAGATGACAGCTCCTTTAAGCAGAGACCATAACAGTATTTGTAGAAAAGAGCAAAGATGCAACCTTAAGACAATGTTGGAAAAGCTCAAGTTTGTACTTTTGGTGTGCATTGCCAAGGCCACATTGGAGCCCTTTGTTACGGCTTAGGGTTTATTAGTGGAAATGAGGCAATTGCTTGGGCTATAAAACAGTGCACTGAGTACTATCTATGTTTCAAGTCAAGTTCTTTAACAAATTTAAAGATGAATAAAGTAACAAAAACTATAAAACACAAAAAACCACAGTCATCACCAAGTTCGCTAAACCTATCATTCACTAATATTCGTGGTCTTCGAAGTAACTTTTCTTCTGTTGAGTCTTATCTCTTGCAAAGTTCACCAGACTTACTTGCTCTTTGTGAGACTAATTTGAGTTCTCATCTTGTGATCTTAGTGTTTATGGTTATCTTCCTTTAATTCATAAAGACTCCAATAGTCACACGCTTGGCCTGGGCATTTACATTTGTAAGAACTCGTAAGAAAATGATGTTATTTCTGATTATATTGACCAAGCCCTCATTCTTTATCCATCAGCCAATATTGTTGTTGTCGGTGACTTTAATGTTCATCACACTGAATGGCTTGGCTCTAGTGTCAGTAACTCTGCAGGCATTAAGGCCCACAACTTTTGCCTTTCTCAATCTCTAACTCAAATAGTCAACTTTCCAACTCGCTTTCCAGACAACCTGTTCCAACCAGACAAATCATTTACCTTATCAGACAAATCATTTACC